TGCAGAGTATTAATAGCAAGCGCAAGGCTTGCTGACATATCATTCGTAATTCATTCGTCTATTATCGTTGTTGTCTTACTAACTCACGGCGCACCGTGTAACGAGTCCCCACAACTCGGTTGTGGCAGCGACAGATACGTCAGCCGCCGGCGTCGCAAGTCAGCAGCCAGTGCTGACTTGGTTGTATCAGCCCTCCACGCACCCGACAGCAGCAGGCAGCGGCAGCTGTGTCAGCGGTTGTATCAGCCCTCCACGCACCCGACAGCAGCAGGCAGCGGCAGCTGTGTCAGCGGACCGAGTTAGAGCCAGCGGACAGCGTCAGCGCGTCGACGCAGCCGCCGCGCTGTGCCTTGCATGCAATAACCCCTCACCTGGGATTGCTCTGTTGCCTGCGATTGCCCCTCACCTGCAATCACCCCTCGCCTGGCATTGCTCTGTCACCTGCGATTCACCCTCGCCTGCAATAACCCCTCGCCTGGGATTGCGCTGTCACCTGCGATTCACCCTCACCTGCAATCACCCCTCGCCTGCAATTGCAGCGTCACCTGCAATTGCCCCTCACCTGCAATCACCCCATGCCTGCGACTGCAGCGTCACCTGCAATTGATCCACAGCTGCAATAATCCCTCACCTGGGATTGCAACGTCACCTGCGATTCACCCTCGCCTGCAATAACCCCTCACCTGGGATTGCAGCGTCACCTGCGATTCACCCTCGCCTGCAATAACCCCTCGCCTGGGGATTGCAGCGTCACCTGCAATTGATCCACAGCTGCAATCACCCCTCGCCTGCAATTGCAGCGTCACCTGCGATTGCCCCTCACCTGCAATAACCCCTCGCCTCGGCCTGCAGCGTCACCTGCGCGGGCTCTGATGCGCCTGCGCTGCTGTTCCCCCCCTTTTGCTGCGTCACCGACTCTTCATTACAACACCCCCACCCATTGCCCCCACTGCGACGGCCTGGGCCGTGACGAAACGGCCGAACATGTTCTGCTTGATTA